ACCCTGGGCAAATCCAACTAAATAGCCTCATAAAGCCGCAAGACTGACAGGATACCATCTAGTGAGCCTGATTGAACACTAATTCTGCTCTTTATCGTCAGGTCCATCCCCGACCCGCGACAAAGCGGAATCTGGTCACCTGGTGCCCAGGTAGAGGGTGAAGAGAGGTGTCCCACTGCATCGATCAAACAGCGAGGCTAGATCCTCTGAGCTCAGCGATGGCGTTCAACATGTTGTGCCGAAAGAGGAGCTCAGGGGCATCACGCTCTCACGTGATCACGTGTCATGTGGAGACTGCCGATGAGACGGACACTCAGATCTCGGAACACGACTCTCATCAATGCCAAGCTCTGAAGTTTTGGCCATCTCGAGTTCTTCACGACCCTTGTCATACTTGGCGAGATCAAAATCGATAAACATGCTTCCAGATCGGAGCCTTCCCATTCGGGGAGTCTTGACATTCACGAGAACATTGACGCCGACTTCTCCATCATCATCATCATCAACGATAAGACTCTGCAGCACGAGACTCAGACCAAGGCCAAGATCTCCTCGCCAGGTGGGACGCTTCTCAACCACTCTTCGAACCCGTGCCACCACGTCCACCTCGACCGCCTCTCAAGAACCAAGCCCAACTCCTCCGCCGCGCCGCTCGGCCTCATCCAAGCTACTGGCTTTCGCCCTCATCACCGCCTCAGCCATCTACTATCTCACCACTGACGACTCAGCACCGTCGTCAGCTCACATATTCAACGACCACCGCTTCACCCCCTTCACTCTGGTAGACCGCGAACCTGTATCGGCGACCTCCTTCGTCCTCACCCTGCACCCCGCCACCACCACCCTCCCGCCATCTGAGGTAGCCGCCCAGCTCGCTGCCCCCTGGACAGCAAACGACCTCTGGTCCCTCGAAGTCAAGCAGCCCCAGCTGCAGATCGCCCGCGAGTACACGCCGCTCCCCAATGCGCCCCCGGGTGCCCTGCGCTTCCTCGTGCGCGCCATCAACGGCGGTGAAGTCTCGACTTATCTGAGCCGCCTGCCCCTCGGCGCCACCATCGACCTCCGCGGACCCCACGGCAGCTTCGATCTCCAAGCCCGCCTCCGTCCCGAGGGCCGCCTCGTCTTTCTCGCAGGCGGCACCGGTATC